TATTGCTGCAAACAGACAACCACGAACATCAATTCGACTGGGACAACGTTCAAATATTAGACAGAGAAAACACCAAGAAAGTCAGAGAATTTCTAGAAGCCACTTGGTACTCCAGTGAATCGTCAATCAATAGACACATCAAGATAGACAAAATTTACCAATCAATAAGAAGGAAATCTCTCACACAAATAGTCAAACTTCAAGTCAAGGAAACAGTCTGTACCAATACAAGTAGCCTAGAGGATGTGAAAACACACAAAAACAACCAATCACGTTCAAGTCACCAGAACAGAAGACTTATGAACTTGTGGAGAAATCTGAAAGCTGACTTCATCGAAATGAAGTAAATGCGCTGAAGATGTTGCGTAGTAGGGGGCGATGAAAGCTTTGCAAATAAATTACCTAGCTGAGAGAACACAACTACATAAAAAGTAGTGCTTTCACACATACACCCCTCATTCTAAAAGGTGTAATATTGGTGGAATAAAAGAATTCTTCGGAAAGAAGGGATAACACTACCAATTTGCAAAATAATGTCTAATTAGCTATGTCATGAAAGCTATAAATACACTGCGTGGAGAAAGGAGACAGGAATACATATTAGATCGACATGGAGACTCTAGAAGATGTGAACTTCACGGATTAATAATATCTAATATCACACGGAATCGAGGATTAACAGACGAAAACAAACCAACTGGCAGAAGAGGCAGGTGGGCAAGCAGGCAGGCGGTGGAAACAGGACTTCAAGGGAATACTAAGAGAAGACAGAAGTGACCATCATCTATAGCTCAGGCTCTATGCATCTGACAGAAAATCACATTCAGGAGACCTAATATGCCATAAGTCTTAATAAGTGCCTCTTGACTGGATCCTAGATTAACATAAGACCAGTATAACAGCTAGTATATGCAAGTTTGTAACTAACAAATAATAGTGGATAAATCATCACATCGACTTTAACTGCATCGGATAAGTCGCAGAATGAAGTAGCTATACTGAATCTTTTACTAATAAAACTAGACCATTTAGTCAGCCTTAGTGAACTAAACCCAACCCACTCCATCTGTGGCGACAGCCCATTAGCCTCTACTTTTCATTAGAACTTCCAGTAGCCATTATTGAGCTGAATACAGATACTCAAGTTACAGCGACACTCCCCTAACTTATCTGGGCAGTATCGTTCCAACTACAGGTGACACAAATAAGGATGTCAAAGCCGGTCAGGGTCGAGGAATCAAGACAGATCTTCATAATAATCCTAAATCATTGTGTGAGAATCTGCTACACTAAGCATGAAGAACACGATTCATCCTTTTAACAGTAATGTCTACGTACTTCAGAGACTTGACCTGTGCATCACCAAATTCATTTCCAACAGGTTTCAAACTTTTTATCAGTAGCGCTGCCTTAGCTGCCTTTTATACTCAGGACTGGATGGCTAGCCGGAAATTATTAAGCAACAAAATGTGCTCTGGAAGACAGTGAAACCCACAGTGTTTCTGTTACCCAAAAAATATGCCGGAAAATATGGAAATGAAGAGACCGTAGAGTGACGACATCACGTGCCAGCTGAAACCTAATCCAAGAATGACATGTAGACAGGTTCGGTGTTTCGTCCATGTTTGGGACTCTTCATCGGTACGCGCATATGACTACACCGGGGATAGAGCCCAGGAACCCCCGATCACTCTGTGATCAAATTTGAAGTAGTTTCTAATGTTTCCGGTGAAAAACTTTAGTTCTTCTTTATCATCAGAATAACTTTAAGATGACTATCATACCCTAACCAATTCAATCAATATTGACTATCGATCAAAGTTCACTGATAAGCATGTAGATCTACAACACTGTAAGTGTGTGCATGTGTGTGTGTGGATTCAAAATGTGATCACTATCTATAAGCATTAGATGAATAGAATTTAGAGAAATCATTGCGACCTCTATCTCTCTCTCCTTCTAAATGTATGCAATATTATCAGTAAACATGCACAGATAATTTGAGTTATTTAGCTAAACAATGCCGTGTCACCTTTATGATAAAATGAAAGGTTCAACAATCATATACATAGATTCGTTTATGACTGGTTAAAACATCTGTCCTTAATAAAGTTTTAGATTATAAGGGATACATTTTAAGTTCACTATATTCAATGTATTCAATGCATTCTATGGATTCAATGGATTTATTGTCTCGTTGAAAGTAACATGAAGTTTCTATATATATATATATACGTATAGAATATAGAATAAGCAATCCCTGATTGACTGAAGCCAATCTTTTCAGTAGATGACATGAAACAAGCACACGCAACATCACACAAACACATAAAAATACAAGTATTACTGAGAGGATAGGATAGCAGTAATAATAATTATGATAATAATAATAACGAGTCTAATTTACAATGTGTCAAATAATTCTTGCTTTGCAAATTATGCCAGTTAGACGTGAAATTTCATAACACAGTTTTTTTGAAGTGACTGGCGTCAAACTACTTAATTAACTCATACTACCAATCAGTCAGTAGTATAGAACGTCGCGAACTTCTTTTTGCTACTTTGATCGGCATTTATGGTGGTACTGACGGGAACAACTGAGGCGGTGAAATCTGACTGTGGAGTCATGGGAGGTCATGGAGATGGCAGCTGAAGTCCTCCTATGTTCCACCTGACACTCAGACAGTAAGCGAACATAACGATATGTTGGAGGATTTCATCATGAACTGACGTGAGTTAGAGAAACATTGGAAAACCAGCTGGGAGTACTGGACAGCCAGCTGTTTCGTCAGCCTAGTTTGGGACTGTTCATCAGTGCGCACCCACCACCAGGGTTCGAGACCAGGACCTTCTAGTCACAAGGTTACTGGCGATTGGGGTTCTAGTCGGGAACGCAGTAAGTTGCAGATGAGGTAGTAAACCATCGAAGAAGACAATGCAAAGTGGTCGCGCTATGTCATGAATTGGCAGAAGTTAGAATTCATCGGCTGGCTGAATATTGTATTGGTTCTCAGTAACTTAATGGTCTACAAGCTAGCTTGCCTGGGTTCGAACTCCGGTGGGGTGGATGCGCACTGATGAAGAGTCCCAAACTAGGCTGACGAAACAGAAGACTTCCCAGTACTCCCAGCTGGTATTCCGGTGGTTCTCTAAGCAATCAAACAAAACCCCTACATAACCAAAACTTGATTTCGATATGTGCAATTTGAGAAATTAGACCTTATCACAGTATTTTAAGCGTTGAACACTGAATGGTTCCAGCTAATGAGAAATGTTTATTTCTACCCTAGAATTTAGAACTATCGTGTTTTTCACAGAAGTTTGTGCCTTTATTTTAAGAGCTTTGGAAATAAATTTATAAAGGTGATTACTATGATTCATACATATGATAAAAAGAGGCGTGCCCATATTTATATACATATATATATATGTTTATATGCTTTTTGCCTACCATAAATATAAAAATAATTATATATAACATATAAAATAAAACTAAGGAAAGGGAATAAACATAGAAAACCTAGTTTAACACTGGTAATACAAATATCTAGGAAATAATTGTATTCGGAGATAAGGAGAACAGAATAACAACAGTCGGGACCTGTTGTAAGAGCGGTGGATTGTTGTGGCCCAGTGGTCTAGTGGACAGTGAGTCCAAGTACCAGTGGGAATGGTCACTCGCTACCTAAGGATTGCAGATACATCCGGGTGATAAGTCCCAGTTAAGACGAATTCCTCACAGTGAATTCCACATCACACTGATCTTCAAAAATCGTTGAGGCGTCGATTAAGGTTAAGTTGACTATTGTAACTGTTGGGATGATTGGCTAGTGTAGTGAGTGTCATTCATCCATAGGTTCGCCACACTGTCATGTTTAGGAGTAATGATTTTAGGTGCATCTGTACTGCACTTGAGTGAGGAATATGGGTTATATAACTAGTGACTTATCACAGAATTAGGTTGCCTCGACCTCCGGATTGGGCGCCAACACAAATTCTCCCTGATGACAATGGCTGGTGCTAGTTGAACTGAAATCACAGAAAGATGGAAATTGAAATTCATATGCCATTGAGTTCGGTCCCAGTGGCTAAATGGTGTATGAACTTGTCCTTGAAACCGAACAGCCTAAGTTTCAACCCCGGTGTGTCCGTACTTCTGAAGATTCTCAAACTAGGAGGTAATAACTGTCCAGCACTTCTTGGTTTCCAATGGTTCTCTAACTGTGATATCAGTTATCGATCAAACTTGAGTGCTCAGTGGGTGCTCCGCAATGTCAGTAATTTGAAGGCTTTTGATTCGACCAATGATAAGGTTTTGGCTATTCAGCACTGAAAAGTCCCTGACTAGCACCGAAATAACCAGTCCCTGTGTCCCTTGATTTTCAGGGATTTCACAGAGCCTGGAAAGAGTCTACATTTGCACTTACTGCTTTTCAAGCAAGCAGTGACAGAAGTCACAGAATAAAGACTACCGGATTTCAGTCTATGAATTAGCATGGGAACACTCTCCTAAAAAATATTTTAAAATTGGGCTTGGTTCAGCCCAGTATTTTTCGTAACCTCTAGTGTGGAATGAAACACCACCTCCTAGCCAGTGTCAACTATTGATGGAAACAACTGCATTTCGACAGAAAACGGTTCGTTTGTAGTTGGTAGTCATCAGAATAACGTTTCTGAAAGGTTGAAGAGATTGGTGCTCCCATCTACATACTCACGGCTATTTATTTAGTGTCGTCGAAAAGGAGATAATAACTCTACAGTATTTTATATTATGTACACGAATCTTTTCGTGAACGCTATGCAATTCTCTGATGTTGTATAGAAATTTCTTGTGATCTCACTGTGACATAAGGATAAGTAGGCAGGCAGTTCTAATAACTGACATCGCTGAAAAACCGATCAAGTTACAATCCAAGCAATTATTCCTTCTTACAGATATCACAATAAATCTTAAGCATAAAGAAACTTCAATTAACCAGCACTCAGTACATACTACTTACATGTTGATGTCAGTATACGTGTAACCAACTCAGTAATTTGTAGCGCATCAGTCCCCTTAAGGTATTGATTGATCAAAGAGGTTACAAAATTGTTCAACAGTGATTGGATAACACTTTGTCCCCAAACCATTAATGCTCCGACTGTCAGCAAAATCAACCCTGCCGCCTTGAAATAGAAATTTAAAAAAAAAGGGAGGAAATATGTAGGTTCATTTTTTTAAAATGAGGATATGCGACACAAAAGTTGATCCTGGTTAATCTGCATTTCTCGAAATCAATCAGAATCCCCCCCTGCAACTTGACGTTAATTTATCACTGTCCGGAGAGATTAGCTGTAAAACAGAGTCTTAACTGACCGGGATTATCTCCACATCTGCAGGTCGTTAGGACAACTGTAGAACAGATCAAATAAATTCAGGAATCGTCTGAGGATTAACCTGAAAGCTGAACATTTCGGTCTAATCAGTCCACTTGAAAATCAATGAACCACTTAAGACAATAACAACTAATGCCTATAGTACAAGAGGTGGCTATCGTGGCCCAAGTAATCTAGTGGATTATTACTATTATTGTTTCCTTTAATTCCTAGAGGAACATAGGTCTTCAGTCATGCATCTCCGTTGCGTTCGGTTCTCTGCTAGAATCTTCACCTGGCTCCATGTCTGCCAACACGCTTTCATCTCCTCTTCACATTACTTCCTCCATGTCACCCTTGCACTGACCACCAACTCGCCGCTTCCCTTTCGGCCGGGTTCCACTCGAGCAATGGCTTGTCTAGTGATGCCACTTGATGGCTTCCTCAGAGTGTAGCTCAGATTATGGCCAATCCATCTCCATTTCTTCCTGCCTATTTGTTTCACAATCGGTTCCTGCTGAGTTGGTTCGCTCATTGCCAGAGATCTCTGTTGCTGATCTTCTCTGGCCGGCCATCTGATCTTGAGTATTGAGCGAAGACAACTGTTAATGAAGGTCTGTAGTTTGTTTGAGATGCTCTTTATGACGTGCAGTGCAAGTCTCTGATCCGTATAGTAGCACTGACTGACTTCACATTGGAGTTGAAAATCCGGATGTTATTTTTGATGATAAGTGCTGTTAACTTCCACACAGACTTGAGAGTAGTGAAAGCTAGTCTTGCTTTTCCGATTCTTGCTTTGATATCCTCGTCAGTTCTGTCCGCCTGTAGTTGAGACGATGCTTCCCAGGTAGGTAAAGGAGGTTGTTTCTTTCAGGTTCCTTCCATTTATGCTGATTGTTGTCTGTTGTTGTTGTTGCTGTTGGTGGTTTTGCCCGGGAATCTTCATCACCTCTGTTTTCTCTATGTTCACCTGAAGTCCTATCTTTGATGCTTCTTTTATCGCCAACTTGTTGCTTCTCACTTACACATCTTCCAGTTTGTGGGAAATCAGACATATATCATCGGCGAAGTTCAGATCCTCCAAGTTTTTTGTGTGAGTCCATTTTATGCCTGTTTCCTCATTGCCCGCTGTTTGTCGCATTATCCAATCTACTGCAATCAGGAAAATCATTGGCGATATTAGGCAGCCTTGTCTTACTCCTGTCCTCACTTCAAAGGATTCCGTAATTTTCCCGTTGTGGATTACTTGGCATGCAGCATTGTCGTACAGCTGTTGGATGAGATGTTTAATTGTCGGTGGAACCCCGTAGTAGCGAAGTAGTTTCCAAATCACCTCTCGATCGACGCTGTCTGTCGAATGCCTTTTCAAAGTCGATGAAGTTGAGATAGAGAAGTGACTACTATTCCAAGCTTTGATCAATGATGATCCGTAATGTGGCGATTTGATCAATACCTGACTTGTTTCTCCTGAATCCAGCTTGTTCCGGTCGAAGTTTTTCATCCAGGGCATGTTCGATTCTCTCCAGGATGATGCGGCTTAGTATTTTGCTTAGGATGGACAAGAGTATAATTCCGCGCCAGTTCTAGCATTGCCTAAAGTCTTTTTTCTTTGGTAGTTTGAATAAGAATCCTTTCTTCCAATCCTCGGGTACTTTGCCTTCTTTTCCACACCTTCTCCAGCAGAGGCGTCATCAAGTCCACTGCTGTCTCAATCTAGTGGATACTGCTTCGAAATCGGACACGACGGATGCAGGTTTCCAGTTCCATAAAAGGGGAACCATCATCACTCACTAATCACTGCAGATACATTCGTCTGACGAGTCCCGATTACAGCTTTGCGTGAATCTTGGCAACCACTTCTAGTCACCAGTACATCAAAATTACATCTCAGAATGTGTTTTACGATGGTTTTCCACTGGACCATATGAATGAGTGAAAGTGTAAATGAAACACTCTTGCATCTTAACCTCTCTCTTCACAACGACTTTCTCATGTGAGTTATCTTTTCGTATATTATTCGACAGTGGAACTTGGTTCCTAACATACATACATACTCAAATGTTGGTTTCCAGGAGTCGAGTGTCTTCTAATTAGGTCACAAAGTAGCATCAGTTAGAAAGCCATTGAAAATCATGGGGGGGGGGGTAATTAACAGATATATTTCACCCTAATTTGGGGCTCTTCACCAGTTCGCGCCCCTTATCCGAAAGAGAGTTGAACCTAGGATCTTCAAATCATCTGGTGACCCCGTTGATTAACCAGTAAATGCGACAGAATGAAATATGCTGTAAATTCTATTTTCTATCAACTTGCAATGTGTACCGACAAATTGTCGTCACAGTCAACTTCCAAATTTCTCAAAACTAGATCAATTTTAACAATTGAACTAGAACCCAAAATTGACCCTGTTTTTTGATTAATGGCACAAAAAAATCAATGCACTACTAATAAACACTTCCACCTTTCCTCACATAGAATATCAATAAATCCTGGGAAGACCTAGCTTATGTAATCGACCTTGAAATGTACAAATATTTTATAGGGTAGTTCAAATTCACACAAGTCAAATTTTATCACTATTTGACTCAATTAAAAAATTCAATAATGCATTGATCATTTTAAACAAAAGTCGTTCTTTCTTTTGTAATATGAGTAAATCAACAGTTTCTAGAAATATCAGATCTCTTTTTGAGTGAAATTTTTCTTCAAAAAAATTGGAAGAGTATATTTTATTTCATCTACCTGCAAGCTCACATAGACACATATAGAGGTATAACATTAAAACCCATTCATGAGATGTATACAATAAAACTAACTTACCATACTGACAGTGTTCATCGCTATCAAAACAATTCGACATGGTAGATTACACAACATTTTTTTGCTTTTTTCAATTAGCTATGTACCTAAAATCAATAAGAAAGAAGATAAAATAAGAGGATAAAATTTTGTAGAAATGAATGTAATTTGAAATAATTAAAATAAAAAACACAACACAATACGCCATCGTCTATGCACCCTAGAGAAATTGATTTCATGTAAATTCGATATGCACTTGTTTCATTTATTGATCAAGGGTATATTCAATCCCTGGGTTAACATGCAAAGCACAGACTCAACTTTCAGTAGTCAAAAAAGAGCTACCCAGATAGATTTATTAATATTATTCCCTTGAGTTCAAAGGATTTTCCCGTCGATTGATTGGACTGAAGTGCTAAGGGTCTTTGGTTGACATGTCGGCTTCTTGTGCAGATGCTTCGACGATGTCTGGGCATGTATGTAATCAGAGATTAATTGGTGGAGGTGGCTCTTGTGGCCCAAGTGGTCGAGTGGATAACGCTTAGGCGTTTGAAACTATGGGTTCCAGCCTGGCTGAATGTAGGTGAATCCAGTGACGAGTCCCAAATAGGACGAAGTGCGCGTTTTCCTGGGTTATTCCACTGCTAGTCACTATCCACCAATTAACATCTCCACTTTGTTCTATTGTCTGATGTTCTATTCAGCTGACTAGCTCCACGATCGCCCATAATCTCTCATCTTCTCCTCACTACACGATCTCCTTCATGTCACCCTCTCACTGAGGACCTACTTATCGTTTCGCATCGCATTGAGGTTCTACTCAGACAATTGCCTGCAGTGAGCGCGAAGTCAATCTATGGTTTCCTTGACGTAAACCCGATCCACATCCATCTCCTCCTACATATTTGTTGAGCAATCGGCTCTTGGTAGATTTGTCACCTCCCAGAGTTTTTTGTTACTAATCCTTTCTGGCCATTTGATCTTTAGTATGGAGCCAGTGAAGCAGGAAGTTTTTGATTATTTATTATTTTTTAATTTTATTCCTTCATGTTCCCAATGGAACATAGGACTTCAAGCTAGAGGCTTGAAGTTTCTGTGGCCTCATGCCCAACCTTTCCTCTTCACCAGCATTGTTTCTGGCTTAGCGAGGTAAAGGAGTGCGCCGGCCGGAGATCGGACCCCGGACCATGTGCATAGTCGGCGAGCGTCCTAACCGCTATGCCACCGACGCACACTTAGTTATTTAGTGTTACTTTGGGAACATATCAGGGAGAATTAAAAAGGAATACTGGATAGTTATTTCGGCCTTGTTTGGGACAGTCTCTAGGGGTGTACACACACACACGACCCCACCAACAAGGATCTTACCGACAACCTTCAGCTTACGAGACGAAGTTTGTTGATTACTTAACCAATCGGGCAGCAACTTAATGACCCTTGAATTTTAACTTCTGCCTTTTTTTATGATACAGTGAAACATATATTTGCCTCAGTGAACTCATGGCTTCACAGTACATCTTCACGACATCCTGTCTAGTAGTAATCAGTAAGCTGAAGACTGACGTTTAGATTATGAAACGTGTGAGGATTTGGATTGATTTATTATTACGTAAAATACTTTTTCCAACAGCTGCTCACTTCGTTGGCTCCATAGCGAAGATTAGATAGTCAGCTAGTCAGCAAGAATTAGCATTACGAAACTCTGGGAGACAACGAACAAGTCAAGAACCTATTGCTCATTAAGTATACCAAAGGAAATGGAGATGGATCGGACACATGATGAGGAGACCGCTGGGTGACATCACATGCCAGGCCATCACTCGTGTGGAACCCGAATGCGTAACGATTAGGTGGGCGTGAGCCAGAGGGTGACATGGGGGAAATGGCGTGAGGAGGAGACGACAGACTATGGGTGATCGGGAACCAGCTAAAGAAGAGTAATAATAGAGTTAATTTCAATGTACTCATCTCCTAACTAGATCACATGAGTGTCAATGTACTGAGTATATTTCATTCTTCTTGATAACGAATAGAATTACGCTGTCTAGAATGCAACTGTAACCAGAAGGTCCTGGGTTCGAATCCCGGTGGACGCGTACTGTTGAAGAGTCCCAAACTGGGACGAAACAGCTGTCCAGTACTCCCAGCTTGTTTTCCAGTGGTTCTCTAACTGATGTCAGCTCATGATGAAATCCTCCATGCAATTGTAAATAGATTGATTACTAAATCATCAATGTCATTGGTGGTAAAAGATGCTATCGGCGTTAATCTACTCCACTCCACTCCACTCTTCCTCACTACACCAAACACTAACACAATTCATTCTTGTATAGTATTCATGCGATAGATAGATAAGTTTATGCAGGCGATAAGAATAACAAAGATAGTATATGTATATAAGTGTATAAATAAATTGGGTCAAATCTTAAAAGGTGTAGTGGAACGATAATCAGAGTTTAAATAAATATTATAAAAGTACGAAGGAGGTGGAAAATAAGAAAGGGTGGGAGGGTTTCGAATACAATTCACCTAGACCAAGGGAGAGACAAAGGTAGAACAAACTTCTTTTGTATGCAAAGACTAGGATTGTTCTCTCGAATTAATTCCCATAGCTTCGGCTAGGTGTAAAAGACGGGTTCTGATTCCATTCGAAAGACTCGATGGAATACGATAGATAACTTTGAAGGCGGCACTATTTTTGTCCACTTGGTGACCGCTATCAACCAAATGAGCGAAAATAGAACTTTGTATGGAGTTTATTTGACCTTTTCCAAACCATGAAGGAAGATGCTCATTAATGCGTTTGCTAGGCTGTCTAGTTACTCGCCCTATACAGCTAGCTTTCTGCACAGGAGCAACTAAATTTATATAGATACACATAGAAGTGGCACAGCTAGGTGGGTAGCTTATCTTTCACTTGAGCAATCAAAACTGGTCGGCTGGAAAATGACAAACAAAGGGTGACGGCAGTATAGGTCGGTCTTATCGCTCTCGATAATCTTAGATGTAAGACTTCACTGCTAGCCACGTCCCCATTAAATTGAAGTTTCATGAACAGTTCTTTCTTTTTAACTGTTGTCAACTGTTTTCTTTGTTGTACCTGGTATTCATGTGTCTCCTAACAAATAAGTGAAGAAAAGTGAAAAATGTATTCCAATTTGGAGGTTATTCACACTAGTTCCACTTCGCATGCATATATATCTCTCTTTCTACATGTGCGTGTCTGCGTGTCTCGGTATATTCATGAATGTTTTAAACACACACAAGGAGAAAACAATAAACAAATAAGTAACATATTATGTTCATTCTTTTGTTTATTTATTTGTTTGTTTGAATCAATCCACCTTAGCAACGAAAATTCTCACTCACCAATCATCAACAAGAGAACTGGTATATACCACTACATACCTAACTAAGGTTAACTGAGGAGTTAGGAATATGCATTCTTTTAAATACAAAAAAAGCGCGCGTTCCCCTTTCTTTTTTTAAACTAAACATTGGACGAAGAATAGAGAATAGATAGTTGAGGAGAATAGCTGAAATATTGGACTATATATATCGATATCTATCTTGCCATTTACAAAAAAAAAGAAGACAACAACAACACAGCCATCATTGATTAGTCTTATGTAACACAGTTGTTTTGTTGAAGACCTGGAATACTAGAGGAGGAGGGGGTAGAATACTTTTAGGAGAATGTAAATTTGTCCTACTACAACTATTATTATTAGGGGTAATAATAGTATTACGATTCCTGTGATCCCAATTAACACTATTAGTTGTTATGGTTAATGTTGGAGACTATTTAAAATTCTTTTTTTTTATAACCTTACATTGTTCGTTTGTTTTTTGTTGTGTGTGTGGTTGGTTGGTTGGTTTGTACCCTTAAAGTACAAGTAACGTTGAGTTGTACACACTTCTATAAACAACACATAAGACGATAATAATGAGCTCTTTTAAAAAAAAACAGAATTAAGATTATGCAATATTATTGACAATGGGATGGCTAAAATTATAAGATCTGTGTGAGTAATTTAGATGTTCACGAACCAGACACTAGTTAGAGAGAACAGATGTTTCAGCCTAGATTGAGACTCCCCATCAATGTGTAAAGTTGGAATCCGCAGATGAATAAAGTTCCAGCTGAAGTGGCTGAATGGTCAGTAAGCTTGGTTTTCTAGCCTGAAGTTCCACTAGAACCAATTCTTGGCTGTACAAATTCTGAAGAGTCTCGAAATAGGATGAAACAACTGTGCAATACTCTGTGTAAGTTTTCAATGATCTTTCTAAGTGATGTTGGTTCATGTCGAAAATAAAACAACAAAAATGTTAGCAATGGTGAGAGAGAGAAAGGTTTCTGTTGGTATTAGATGGTTGGAGGCAATCGGTAGGGAAGCCTTGCACCTAGGTTTCGTGCTAGTTTGCAGTCATCAGCAAAGCAATATCTGCAGCTTCGAAGGAACTCATGTCCCTATCTGAGATTCAAACCTGCGTCATTCAGTGCCGCCTACAGTCAGAGACGTTACCACTGACCTATTCGGGATCGTGATTGACCTCCTGTAGGAATGTATTAAATAGTTTTGATTGGACACTAGTGAGTCTGCACCAAAGACAAGACTGGACACACACAACCTTTTACACTAGTTACTGACTACTGTTCAATAATAAAAAGATAAGCTTCTAGAGGGAGAGATCAGTTTAAGAACTGTACACACAAAAGCATATAGGTTTCAGATGGGACATGTAGATAAGTTTCAGTAAATAGTGTGTCAGTTACAACAAAATACTGACAGGTGATAGGCTTCAGAACATCCATTTTCGGAACTGTCACATAAACTGTTCAACCGTTGGTCAGTGGCACTTTGAAAAGACCTTTTAAAACGTTATTTCAAGACTTAAGCGATTACACCGTCACTTAAGCGTTAAGCTAATCTACAACGTGGATCATTCATTTGTGTGAAGGAGTTTCTCTCAGGGAATATGTGTAAACCAGGGAGTACTGGACAGCTGCTGATACATCCTAGTTTGGGGATCATCGGCAGTACGCACCCACTGGGATTCGAACGCAGGACCTTCCG